CTATGAACCAACTGCATGTAACTCCAGGAGGGTATCTGACACCCTCCAGAGGGTACTGCACTTAGGAGGCTAAAGAATGACGACAACTCTTTCAGAAGGCAAGTTTAGATTCTAGGACCTATATTCCATGTTTCACATCTGTGTATGACACCAGCTCCAGGTGTTGTAATATCATTTGCTCCTCATGGGTACATATACATACATGGCACACACACACACACACACACACACACACACACACACACACACACACACAGAGAGAGAGAGAGAGAGAGAGAGAGAGAGAGAGAGAGAGAGAGAGAGAGAGCGCGCGAGACTTCCTGAGTTCAATTCCCAGCAACCACATGATGGCTCACAACCATCTGAAATGAGATCTGGTGCCCTCTTCTGGCCTGCAGGGATACATGCCAGCAGAACACTGTATACATAATAAAACTTGAGAACCTAGAGCCTGTTTTCTATATGAAAATGATATAGCTCAGTCATACAACACACATTTGGGGCTGGAACATTAGCTCAGTGGTAAAGAGCAGGGGATGCTCTTGTAGAGGATCCAGGTTCCATTCCCAGCACCCACACTGTGGTTTCCAACCATCCGTAACTCCAGTTTCAGGGGCTCTGACACTCTCTTCTGAACTCAGGCACCAGGCACACACGTAGTGCACATATATCCAAGCAAAACACTCATACACATAAAATATATTTTTAAAAGACTACATACACACACACACACTCAAGCCTGTATTTAACACCCCCCCACACACACACAAGGTTGTAAATAATGGAGAACCTTGGATTTGTTCAAGGTTGCATGGCATCAACACAAGACTTCTAAAAACTCTCAGATTGGTGCTATATCACCAAAATACTTTTAGAATAATAGGAAGACACAATCTTAACACAAATATCAGCTTAGTATTACCCCAAATTTATAGCAAATAACTGGACAGGAATCAACAGTATCTTGAGTACCAGAGCTCAAGTGTCAAATAAACACAACTGAAATGTCTGTGTGCCTCCTTGCACCATGTGTTGTGTGCAGGTGTCACCGAGGGAAGAGGAGGATGTCAGAACCCTTGGACCTGGAACTACCGGCAGGTGTGACTTGCATGCTGTAATAGGTCCTCTACAAGAGCAAGTGCTCTTAATTGCTGAGCCCTCACCAGCCCTATAAAGTTCACATTAGCACTGCTAAATGGATATATTCAAACCTTCATGTCTAAGAAACTTCCTGTTTAAATGGGAATTACTTGAAACAGTCTATGATAGCAATTTAATCTCACTCAACATGTGTCCACTCTTTGCAAGTGATAATGAACTAACCATCCATGCACAAGAGCTCTTCATGAAACTGACTGAGCTTAATGCATATAAACTCCATTTGAAATCAACAAGAACCTATAAAAGTAAGGAAATTGTGGATAACTGCAAGAAAAACATGCAACTTACAAGGCATAACCCAACCCATGCAAAGAAGTAGTTTTCAGTGCTGGGGATTTAACTGAGGGAACCTTGAATGTCAGGCAAGTGTTACCTCACTAACCTACATCTTCAGGCTCCAGAATGAATACATGAATTAAAATATTTCATAGTATTTTCTACATAGAAAAAGCATTGGAAAGTTTACACATAACTTGAAAAGTATAATTACTAAGTATCAGAAAACATCTTGATGCCATTTAAACTACCTGAAATGGAACCAAACAATTTGATCACAAGGCAAGACATCCTGGCAGAGTTGAAGTCTTTCATGCATAGAGGATAAAACTAAAAAAAGAGTAAACTAGTGTTCTTTGTACCTTTTTACTCAATACAGCCTTCATTAACACCAAGTGCCATTTGCTGTACCATGCACAAATTGGGCTGTGTGTTGCTATTCTGATGCCCTGAAGGTTACTTCTGGACCTAACAGAGTAACTAACAAATACTGGTCCAAGCTGAAATTTTATTTCTGGATACTGCCTTTTGAAATCCATCTTTTGGACTTTGATTGCAGCTGTCAGATACAAAGAGCAAATCTATGTCAGCTAGAGATTGACCCGAGAGCCTTGTCATGGTAGCACTACCACTGAGTTCTAAACACCCCCAGCCCAGAACACAAACCCTGTGCTTTCATTATAGCTATACTAAATGATGTGCCAGTATGCCTTGAAACATTACTAAAAATAACCAGTTTACATTTAACCGTTTCCAGTATGCTGGAAAGCACAATGTTTAGGTTTTTAAAGGAGATTGGACAGCTTGTTCTATTAGAGCTGGCCCCACTCACTTCAGATGTTCTTAGGATAAAGGCTGAATGATTACCCTGAATATGACTTCAAAAGACCCACAGCTTTTAGTATGATTGACTGGAACATATGCTAGCGGAGGGTAGTTATCTAAGTGTACTACAGGGTTCAACCACATCCCTCAGTCCTTATTTTACAACACTCCAACAAAGCAGGAAGACTAGATTCTATGTTTAGAACAAGTTCATGAAGTGTAGCAGGACACATTTCAACACATATATAGGGTAACCCCAAGGGACCATGAAGAATGAAAATGTAAGGGTGCCTGGAGGCCATTGATATCATGCTTTGGACTGTTGGAAATGCACACAATGCACAGGACTCTTAAATCATCATTTACTTGACTAGATGGCTACAGTGCAAACAGTTACTATTCCAAAACTTGTACCTGGTAATCTTCCAAAATTGCTTTTAAATGAAGTTCTTAAATTGTAGTAATAAACAAAACACAAGATACAATTAAACAACACTGCAGTTTATCAAAAAACACATAAGAAATTTCAACTCTTATTCTTTGAGTTACAAAAATGAAGGTTCGGCTAAGTTATAAACATGTTTTCCAGGTAATTATTTGCATAACTTTTGTAATGCTCAGTGGCTGTTAAGATCAGAACTTAAAACACTGAAAACAAAAATACTTAGCCCTGTATTCACCTGTAGAGTATGTTCACTTACTTTAGCTTATATTCCAGGATTTGCTGATATGTATTTTATCTTTTCCAGACAAGGTTTCTCTGTAGCTTCCTAGCCTGTCCTGGATCTCCCTCTATAGACCAGGCTGGACTTAAATTCAGAGATTGCTGGGATTAAAAGCATGTGCCGCCAACCACCACCCAGTTATATCACATAGAATTTTAAAGGTCACATCCAAAGGAGAAAGCAAACCACCTACAAACTGGCATTATTTGTTTATTTCTTGGCTTATGAACGCCCTTAATTTGTTGATGTAGCAAACAAATTTCAACTCTGTTATGCAAATGACAGAAGGAATCTGCTCAGCAATGAACTTTAGGGTTCAATTTCATACAGGCAACATGCTATATGTGAAAAAATTACTAACTGAACTACAGGTATTAAATACTGAAAAAAATTAACAGTTTATTATAATTTATTTTATTTAACAATCTAGGAAGTTCGCAGCCATCAGCAGTTCCAGTGCAATTTCAGGTGCAATTGGGAATTCAGGAATCTCGGTGGAGCTGTTAGTGTAGCGGACCTTGTAGGTGAAATACATGCAGACTTTCGATAGCACGTGCGAAGGGATCTCTCTAAAATTGACCTCGTTGGTTTCATTCTCAGCAAACTGCCCTGAAAAACAAAAGGGTCATGTATGTTATGGCCTGCACAGTGAGTACCTCTCCTTGTTCAAGGGAATCTTAACACCAACTACCTCAGAAAGGTCTCTATCTAGGATAGGAACAGCAAAAAGAGACTAGACACACACAGAAAGTACTCCAAGCAGAGAAAAAAGTCCAGACACAGAGCCCATTATTTAAGGGCAAGTAAAATAATCAACACTGCCAACTGTACCTAACTAAGCCACGTGGTACATGGCAGTAAATAATAGTGACTGGGATTCTGTTGTCCTGGAACTAATTCTGTCCTTCAACTCAAGAGATCCACCTGCCTCTGCTTCCTGAGTTCTGGGATTAAAGTGGTGGACCATTTCCCAGTGAATATTTTTTAGAAGACATGCAAATGACCAGAAAATGCATGAATTGGTGTTCAAAATCAATTGCTAAGGAAATACAAAAAAACTATACTTTAGTTTCACTTCTCACTAAGCAGAACAGCTATAAATAGTTAATAATGGGCCAGAAAGATGGCTCTGCAGATATGAGCTTACTGCTTTTGCAGAGGATTTGGGTTTGGTTCCCAGTACCCACTTGGCACAACCACCTGGGCTCTTGTTCCAGGCAATCAAAAGGCCTCTGCTAGCTTCACCAGCTCTTGCATGGGATATGCAAACTCATACCCACATATACACATAAGTATATGTAAGTTAACTTTAAGGAAAAGTCAGGTTGTATGGAGGACTAGTATGTTGTCAATAAATAATATAAAATGATTTTCCTCCAGCAGAAACAACTTGGTGGCTCCTCCAAAACAAGAATCATATGACCAAACAGTCCCACAGAGTTCCACAAAAGACCTGGAAGCTGGTGTTTTAAACAGATACTTATATATGCTTGTGTTCATAACAGCACCATTTATGATAGCTAAAAGTTAGACACAACATGTTCATCAACTGTAGATAAACACAATGTAGCATATTCCTAACTTAATAGTACTAGATGGCTCCACTATCATGTAAATGTACTTTGAAAGCATGTAGGAAGATACTGAGGGTCAAATATTGCATGGATTCCAGAAGAGGGTAGACTAGAAAGTAGACTAGACACAAAGCTGAAATATTGCCACGGAGTGGGGATGGTGCACACCTTCAATCCCAGCTCTCAGGAGTCAAGTGGATCTGAGGTTGGTCTACAGACCAAATTCCAGGATTGCCTGGGTTACAGAGAAACCCTGCCTCAAAAGAAAAAAGCTGAAATATTATAGGATTCCTTTTTGGAGATTTGGATCTATATTATGTTATAGTTGTTCATACTATGTAAGTATGAATTACTGCTGGATTTGTACTTGAACTTTTTTACAAGTTGGAAACTATTTACTCAAAGTAAAATAGAACGCTAAAAGATCAGAGCCAGGAGTGGTGGTCAGGGCTACATGAGAAGGTGAGGAAGGGTAGCTGTTGGGTCTAAAGCTACCTTGGCAGCATGGGCTACAGAATTAAGATCTTGACTGATTTCCAAAATATAAGGAGCTCAAGAAGCTAGCCACCCAAACACCAAACAAGAAAATTAAAAAGTGGGGTGCAGAACTAAATAGAGAATTTTCAACAGAGGAATCCGAAATGGCTGAAAGACACTTAACAAAGTGCTCAAAATCATTGGCATCAGAGAAATGCAACTCAAAACAACTCTGAGATACCACCTCACACCTGTCAGAATGGCTAAAATCAAAAATACCAATGACAATCTATGCTGGAGAGAATGTGGAGAAAAAGGAACACTCCTCCATTGCTGATGGGAGTGCGAACTTGTAAGACCACTCCGTATGGCGGTTGCTCAGAAAAATGGGAATCAGTCTACCTCAAGATCCAGCCATTCCTCTCTTGGGTATATACCCAAATAGTACATGTTCATACAACAAGGATATATGTTCAACCATGTTCATAGCAGCATTGTTTGTAATAGCCAGAACCTGGAAGCAACCTTGTGGTACATTTATACAGTGGAGTACTACTCAGCAGAAAAAAGCAATGGAATCTTGAAATTCGCAGGCAAATGGATGCAACCAGAAGAAACCATCCTGAGTGAGGTAACCCAGTCACAAAAAGACAAACATGGTATGTACTCACTCATATATGAATTTTAGACATAGAGCAAAGGATTACCAGCCTATAATTCTCTTCACCAAAGAAACTAGGAAACACGAAGGACTCTAAGGGTTAAATGGACCCCAGGGATGGGAAGTGGCATGAACTCCTGAGCTAATTGGGAGCATGAGGGGAGGGGGAGAAGGGGCT